AAGCAGCAAATGCACAAGACGGTTCGGGTAATTGACCAATTGAGTAACCTATCGGATACTATAAAAGTAAACCAAAATTAAAAGACTTTTAAGAATAAAACTAAAAGCATTTCTGAGGCATAGTGGACTTTTAATCAGTAACAAATCCAAAAAGATTTACTATTATAATGGTGATTGACCAATAATTATTGTTGTTGAACAATGGTTCGAATAAGATATTGTTTAAAATATCCCAAATTTCTAAAAAAAGCTGGCGCTTTATTTATGAAAACTAAACTCGATTTCAAGCGATATTTAAAGACATTTCTATGGGTCACGTGTATAAGTTCATAAACACAATTATGGTAAAAATGTAAAGTTATTTTGACTTAACCTTTGCACCATCACTTACAACTGGATAGGCAAAGTGTCATTTTAGCATAAGTGGATAGAAATGTTTTATACTTACAAAGTTCAACTAGTTATTTAAAAACAAAGCGATTCAAAGGAAAGTCCTTCAATTGGAAGTATTAAACCAAAGTTTGAGATGTATGGAATATCGTCTCCACGTGGTTACCAGCCATAACTGAAATAACTGAGACATGTCGTGTGTATGAGCTGATTACCCTTAACTTAAGTGATTAATTAATTAATTGATATATAAATGTTAGAACTGTGTGAGTGTTTTAATAAATTATTTATATTAATCCGCAGTTTAAAACGTTTTAAATCGACCTACTAATACTACTCATAAATAAAGGCATGGGCCATATGTAAAGTCATTACTAAGTGGTATCACATATCGTTTTGCAAATAACATCAAGTATGTCAATAAATATGTTTATCCATTCAATCTGAAAGAATCCCGTTGAAAATACATAATTTGTGGCATGCAATAACAACAGCTTTTATGTCAGATCAATACTTAATATTTGTAAGCAATGTGGTCAAAGACAGCACTTCTCTGAAATGTAATGAATGAGGACATTTCAATTCTCTAGAGACACTATACCGTAATTTACTATAACATCAACTTCGATTCATGTCATAACAATATAATATGAAAAAACACACCAAACTGTTAAAATATCGACCTTTCTGATATAATTTGCCGGATATCTTGTATAGCATAAGTTTTCAAGCATTGCATAATGCTCGGGTTATATATGCTGAGTTCATATAAAATCAGAAGTTTCGTTGTCATTAAATACAAGTACAGTAATCGTTATATTAAGTATATCAGCAAATTCCATTTCGCTTTCAGGAGGACACTCGTGAGCTTTAAAGCTTTCTGCCCTATCCCAAAATGTACTTTGTAAATATTGTTCACTTGTTAAATGTTTTGTTGAATGAATATGTTTAAACCAATTCGTTTTCATAGTTTAAAAACAGTACTGGTACTTTTATCCGGGTGTAATTTAAAACCATTTTTGTAATCATTTGTTTGTTGATCTGTGACTTGTTACACTTAGCTAATAAGCAATAATTATAACATTATCAAAACGTATCTAAAATCAAATTGAAATGTTATACAAACAAAGTTGTCTGATAAGAGATCGGTCTTAATATTATTCCTTACTTCAGTGTTGCTTTACACGCGTGTCGTATACAGGCTAATATTTTACACAAGAAAACACTTATATTTCTCTAATCCGTTAAGCTTGTATAAAAAAGTTATACTTCACGTTCATTATTTTTATAGAAGTGTTTGTATGTAGATTGCACACCGATTATTTTTGTTATTTAGAAATGTCATGTAAAATGATTGTTTTCATTAAATGTTAATATATCACTTTTGCTGCATTTTCATCGTATAACTTAGCAAAAATGACTGTGAAAAATAAATCTTGCAGTTTTAAACATTTTCTTTGTAATTTAATAGCTCCTTTCATAGTTGTCAATTATCATACTGTTATGATTCATTTGTTTGCCTTCAATAAATCTAAAATACATTCTCGTATTTTCTTACTTTAAAGGAACAAAAATTGCTTTCTCTAGGATTTAGTGAACATTGATTTATTTGATGAATATAAAACTAATAGGAAACAACTATTTGCAAATGTTCGCCCTATAGCTATAGCTACTACTGGGTTTCTTAGTTGTCCTGTGTGGCATGACATTTTCTATTGCTATTTTTCTTGAAGTTGGCTTTGATTATTATTTTCATATGTCATAGACTTAATTCTGTGTGGTTCAAAATATTTCGGAATACACAAGAAAAATGGTAATTTTGAATGTCCCTTACTTTTACCCCCACCACCTTCGATTCTAGCATCAGAATAAATTTAACTAATATTTTATATTTATCCTAAATTTCAATGCAATTCAATATGTTATTTATTAAACCTATTCAATCGAGCACCAAAACCCATAAGATATACAATTCATTAGTGCTTTTTTTTCAGGAAAACCCATCTGCATTGGTCTTATAAAGTATTTTGTATTTCCCTTTGAATATTTTAGTAATTTATAGATTTCTGTTTTGAAAAAGATGTATATAATTATGTAATATCTTCTCTAGTTATCAGAATATTGTTCGATTCCTAATTGATCCTCGATTTTCCAAAGCACTTTACTATAGCTAGAATCATATTATGCATCATACTATGGGTACACGATGAACTTTGTAAGAAGACATTACAATATATTTACCGCTTATACCAATATTTGTTTTCACATGCTGTTTACACAATTACAAAAGCAGGTCAATATTCGTTTTATTTGCCTTCACTTCAAGGGCAATTAATGTTTAGGCATGACCGTTTGATGTATTACATGATGGCCGTGATAACTAATGGAGTTTGTCGTTAACCATCTCATTGTATACTTTGTAGAAAAGCCTGTTCCTTCAAATTTTTTATAAGATCCCTTGTTGGTAATAAAAATGTAGTAAAGACAAACAAGCCTAATGAGACTAAATTTTGTATCTTATGTTTGACACATCCTTCCATCTCGTTACTTGTAAACAATAGTTTAGGATTTTTGTCCAGAACGAAAGTGGCTTTAGTATTTGTGTACCTCTAATAGCAGGACATTGTATTTATGATAAGTTGCATTTGGAACATTGATTCTTGGAAAATACCCATCAGCTCATTATAAGCATGTTTGATTGACTTATTTTTATAAATATCTATTGTACCTTTACAATGGTTTTTAAAATGCAAGATCAAAAAAAATAAATACTTGCCATATTTACACGATACATCTTTATACACTGTTATAAAATTGGGTAATGTAATGCAGCGACATCAGTATCAATTAATGTTTCATTAAATAAATTATTTCATTAATTTTCACAATGGATTCCTAGTTATTTGTAAAAGAAAATGTGTTCACAATGTTATTATATTTAGACAAATGGATACGACCACCCTATCTATTGATTCCCTCTTTAAACCAAATAGATTTTCATTTTTATATATTTTTAAATAAATGTCATGTTATTCACGCTTTCGATTTGATACCATTAGAACTTTAGAGGTAATTTTAATGTTTTATATGTTTTATGACCGTTTTTCGGCGTTGTTTAATTTAGTTTCTTTTATATTTTGGCCAATTTATTACTTTGATTTCAAAATGATTCATACTATTTATCGGTTGAAACAAACAATGGTTAGTAATTGGCCGGTAATACGTAAATTGAGATTCAAATTTTGCCATTCTAATTATTTTGCTTCTTTATACAGTCATGGCAACAGAAATTGTCTATTTCTTTCAGACGCAAGTTTATATCGCACTTCATAACCGTTATTTTTACATAGAAAACATACTAGACATTTTTATGCGGTCCCGGATATGTCAGACACTAGTTATGTCTTGCCAAATTATTTGTTTTATGTTGTGATCGTTAGAATAAAATGCTGTTTAACGTTAAGAATTTCATTATTGAATAAACGGAACTTGCACAGACATCGTAACAATTATACACAATTTAACTTAAAATAACAATGTCTAGAACAAAAGTTTGTAAACGAAATAACAGACTTTTGATTTTAGTGATTTTGCGAATTTGCGAAATTGCGAAATTTAACATGCAAATGAGGTATGCAATTGGCTGTATATAGGCTATGACACAATGTTCGATTTTTAAAAAAGTCAATAATTGTAAACGGCAAAAGTATTTCTCATATAATCAACTTACATTTATCGCTGCGCAGTACTTTAGGAGGCCTGACGTTTATACAAGAGTCATCAAACAAATAAAATTATGAAAACATGTGTTATGTAGTGCGGTTATATACAATTAAATTTGGACTGTTACTTCAAGCCGTGTTTGTTGATTTTCTTTTTGTGTTCGGATGACCCAAAGGCGGAGTTTAACATTTAAACTGGAAATGTACTCTCGATTTTGGCACAATGCAGTTGCTGACTTAAAGCTAATAAAGTTAATTCTGGTCGTCTGGACACCAAACTAAGAACGGGAGTCGCTATGAAACTCATTTTATATTTAATAATTGTAGTATTTTTCTGTTTTAATGAAATTTTTAAAATGTATCTTTAATTTTCTTTAAACGAAATGTACATTGGAAGCTTTATTATTCATCCTTGTTACCTGACACCTTTCTATTATCAAAACGTAACATATAGTTTGTTAGCTAAAGAAATACAAAATAAAGTGCATATAACAACCATTGTCATACTCATCACAAATCGGCTAATCTACAACGGATTCGATACCAATAATGTGATACATCAGCTCAAAATCAAATTAGAAGCAGAGATAGATATAGTTTTTTGTATGTCTGGAAGTACCATGTTTGTCAAGAAAAGGGAAATATTATTATAACTTGACATTTATATCACTTGTAAATCAAAGGCAGGTGTGATCTGGTTTTAATTATTTTCTCTATAAATCTTCAATAACGATCCCTAATATACCAACATTCTATATGACGTGCAGGTGGTGAATGTCTAGTTTACAATTGTCCAAGGAATTTCCATTCATTTCACAGTTGTTTTCATCTGCTTCAACAAATTGGAAAATTACTGTTGATACAAGATGTCAGCTGACAGGTCACGTGACTGTATATCTAATCAATAAGAACTCGCGAGCAGTGATTTCATTCTCTGATATAACTTCAAACACATATGATGCATTAATTTTAGAGACAATTGGTGATACGCAATCCACATTGGGAGTTTACCATTTGCTGGTAATTATAAGGGAACATGGTAGGTGGATTTTTTTTCACTTGCATTTAGAAGTTTTGAATAATTATATACAAACTTGAATATTGTAGTAAAATATTGGTTTAAAATTAAGAAAGAAAAAAAATCAACATATGCAAACTTTTCGAATTTTAAATTTATTAACATAAACCGGTTACATCAATAGGAAAATGGAATAAGAAAAAAAACGAAGGATAGTAATGTTACTGCAAAAAGTAAGTATGTATATTTTTTATATTCGATTTTTCGCGAATATTTTTTTTTTTCATTGTTTAAAAAAATTTTAAAAAAAAGGGAAAGGTTTGATTTGTAAGTAGGGGGAATGGTAGAAATGTCAATTTCTGGGAAATTAAATAAAAATAATTTTTTAAAATTTTTATTAAAAATTATTATTTTTTTATTTTATTTTATTATAAAAAAATTAAAAATAATAAAAATAATGCACAATTGAACTTAAAAAGATTTTCATTCCAGAAAACCTTTAAAAGAATTTTAAAATATTTCCCGTTTGCCATTTTAAAGCAAAATTAAAAAGGTTTCGCTTTTCAATTAATTCAGTTAAAATTTTTCCCCCAATTTTTAAAGTTTCCTTTAAATGAAAAATAGAAGCAAAAAAACATTTTTCATTAATTTTTAAAATTTTAAAGCTTTGATTATTAAAGGGGCATATTCCCCAAAATTTAAAGCTTATTTTAAAAAGTTTTCAAAAGTTTCTTTTTTAAAAAAAAAAAAAGTTTTGAAAATAAAAAACTAAGAAAAGGGAAAAAATTTTTGATTTTTTTCATTTGCCAAAAAAGGCACTTTAAAACCCTGGGAATCACCAATTTTTGGGTTTAAAATTTTGAAAAAAAACCCTTTTTACGTTAATCAAGCATTAAAAATATATGAAAATTTTCTGCACAAAAAATAAACCCCTATAACATTTTGAATTTATAACTTGAATCTTGAATTTTACCCTTTCATTTTTTTTTTAATTTTTTTTAAATTTTTATTTTTGCTCATCTAAAGGTTTTTGGATTTTAATTAAATTTTTTTCCAAAATTTATTGATTAAATGTTGTTTTTTTTAAAATTCTTTCATTTTTAATGTTTTTCTTTTTTTGAATAAATTTGAATTCCCGAAAAAAATAAATAATAAGGGAAAGGTTTTTTAAATTTAAGATAACGAAGGGTAACTGATATTTTTATCCTATTTTGCCATTTTTGTATCTGTTTACCAAACTAGGAACATAATTGATAGTTTAAAACAGTATCTCATTTCAATATTCTTTGTGATATTAAAATATATTTTGAAGAACGCGCGACGATAATTGTAATTCTATAAATCTACTTACTAGGTAAAACTCGTCATTTTCGAATATGTACTCAAATCGTATTGTTTTTTTTAAATTGCATCAAATTCAGTTTCAATCTTTTTGTCATTTAATTGTGACGTCTATGATTTCATTTTCCTTGCAATTGTTCTATTAATTGTCACGTGGTTTTTCCCATATTGCAACATACCCTGCAGATTAAATCGTTTAATATTTTGGGTATTGCTTATACAGAAGTTGCCCCACCCTGAGGCACATTTACATGCAAAGATATATCTTAACAGTCTTAAAGTCTCATTCAATATCGCATTTTAATTATAAAAAGAGTAGTGGTGAACCTGGCCTGCGACTCTTGAATTACTTTTTCAATATGATTTCAAAGACTTTTCATCTTTTTTTTAAAATCATTTAATACCATCAGCGACAAAGATCATGATACAATGTTTAATGTCGCTACGGTTTATGAACAAAACGCAAAAATAATATAATACTCCAAATGTTTGTGCTTAAATGTGGTCATAAACTTTATGCCTGCAAGATTTTAATTCAGGTGAGGTGTATATTTAGAACATACAATAACAGTAGACACGCATCTTTTACATACAATTTAAACCTATGCGGAAGAGATAATGGGCTATAATAAATCGTCTAGAAAGACATACATGATTTTTATGAAGGTTTAATTGTAACGATAATATGCTTTGTTGGGTGCCAATTATTTTAATGAGAAAAATGTGTCTGTTCTTGATTTATAATATAATTAATGATATGTTGCCAAATTGATATCATCTGTATTTTAACAGTGAAAGCAAATACTCTTCTGACTTCATGGCTAGGTATTTTTCAGTACATCATATAATTGTGTATGTCTCAAGATATCCGTATATAATTATAATTGATTTAAAATAATAGTAAATTAGACTTTGTATAAAAGAAATTGCATGAGCATGTTATTCAAACTATACTAGTATTTAATTCAAATATTTCGTTCTAATGAAGATATTTATAAAAAAAAATCCTCAATATTACTTTTTGACAAAAAAGAACAAAGAGAAAACAATGTCAGGAATCAATAGGATTTTCGAGGACAGTTGAATGATATCAGGTATGTTTAATTTCCCAAACCATTTGTCCTCTTATTTAATATCCATATATTTTATAGGTCATGCAATTTTCACTAACAATTGATCAAATTCTATAATGCATTCAACACATTTTTTCATCCTCACGATCGTGTGTACGATCCATTACAACTTTATAACCTCAACCATGCACGGAAATAAAAACAATATTTTCCTGTGAATGTCATTGTTGTTCCCAATCAGAGCAATTTGATATTGTCCTTCGTTCTAAAACACATTTTTTTTTATGTTTTATAATTACGTTTTTAACACGTACATGTGTGACATTACCAATTAAAACAGTATAATTGTCGGTTAGTAAATAATAAAACTTTATGATTTCGTGTTAATTTATTTTTTCCGTTATAGAATAACCAAAATGCTAAAAGACCAATAATATTCAATGTGTAAGTGTTTAAGAAAATTTTTAATACTTTATTTAAAGAGAGAATGTATGGTTAAAAGTCTTTTTTTGATCAACAATAGATTAATTTGCTTTTTTGACGCCTGTTTTTATCACAACTATTTGTAAGAAACAACAGACAGACAATAAAAAAACACAGCATACACACAAATAGAAAACAAAAACAAAACAGACAAATGCAATGGGAATCCAATTTTATTTTTCGAGACAAAAATTGTTTGACAAATGTCCTCTTTAACTCTTTACCCGCACGTGGCAACTTAATTTACCAATGCGATCATAGTAAATCAGTATCCGCTTGCATGCCTCTGCCGTGAGATCATGATCTGCACTGTTCCCCTTTCACATTTTATAATTTTACCCTAAAATGAAATCAATTGTATTGTTCATATCGACAGTTACATAAGTTAATTTGCGATATTTAGCAGGTAAATGGTTAAAAAAGTAACACTTGATTGTGTTTCTCTTAACACGAAAACGTGTGACTAAGAGCATGCACAAATGCCAAATATATTGTCTATATTTTAATTGAAAGGTTGCTCAGTGTAAATATTGTTTATTGTGTCGTCTTAAATGATTCGAAATAATATAATACTCGTAAATGCAAAGTTATCAAACTAAGGAAATTCAAATAAAATAAGCATTATTTTCAAACTGTATTTTACCTATCCTGCTGATGTCGAAAAAAGCAATCTTTTTAGAACCCGTTGAAATAAAAAAAATCTATCCTATCCTACTCAAATGAAATAGGTGTATTTTACTGAGTAAACAACGTAAAACATACACCACGTGAAAAGGTTATTTTTTATAAAACTCACAAAGAATGAGCTATAAAACCACGTGACAAAAAGTTGAATACACACCAAGTGAAATAATTAGTATACACCTTATTTAAGATGTAGCTCTACACGACTTAAGAGTTACATCATTAACGTAGACGCCTGTTAGTCGTTTACGTCATTTCCTTTGTTATTTATCAGCTGATGAACCTTATTAAAGCAAAACATGTTTTGTTATATATATTTTTTATCTTGGTTTTTTATCTATTTATCCTATACGCGGCATTCCTTGAAGAAAGATTTGCGTGAGTCTACGTGAAAAGGCTACATATACTCCAGTGAATGCGTTGTAGATACACCACGTGAAATTTTTTTATATAATTAGCTGTGAACATATTTGTATTCAAATCGTTAGCTACAGTTACTGTATTTATTTAATAGCTTAGAATTTGCATATGTTCAAAAGAGATCGTCGTGTACCGGAACAACTAAAATGAGTAAAAAAGATAAAGCACAAAATGGGTTAAAAAGATAAAGCACTTTGTATATAGCTTCCGTTTTCTACATTTTTCACTGAAATCATATACTTAATAGCTGTGCTGATTTAATAACATTAGTTTTATTGGCAGTTAGCTTCAGGAGTAATAGATTGTCCTTCGGGAAAAAAAAATACTATCAGTTTTACATTATTAACAGATTCTTTCTTTGTCAATAATTATGATATATGGTAACGGCATGAAGATATATTGGTTAGCAATGTTAGTATGATATACGTGGTATGGAATATTCGTTGGCTTTGTTTTTTTTTCTGAAGGGTGGTAGTTGGGAGGAAGAAGGATACTTTGCTTTAATCGTATCATATACACATTTGTTAATTTGGAAACATAATGAATCCCATTTTAAATTACTGTATCGCTGTTGGTTAATCGTAACCCAGTGTTAAAGATAAGTGATCAAAATTGGACAATATCCCCCTCCGTTTCACTCTAGCAATAGGCCATATAATTTTAGCTTTAGTTTGGAGAAAGTATTAGTTTCGATCAGTTCTAGCTGGAGAACATAGTTCAATTGATTTACTAACGTAATGCAATAGTCAGTTATGTCGACGAGTTTTTCCTGATTGGTAAGTTTGAAATAACTGTTCTGAAATATTGTATGAAATACTTCCCAATCGAGAGTGATTGTATTTTTAATAAACCGTGTGTGTGGGCAAGGTTACTGGCATCGCATAATACAATCAAGCTGCAGGCTGATTGATGGAACCTGATCTTTAAACATTCTTTAAACCTCTACCGAGCACGGACACACTATGATAGAAGAAACATACTTTGCTTGTTGACCTATTCCTTCATTTTGACAGATACAAAATGCAAATACATGTATTACTACTTTAAGAAAATGGATTAAGATTTCAATTAGGTTTTAAAATATGTCTGCAATATACGATGTAACTTCTTGCTTGTACAATAATTGTTTATTAAAAAGGAAAGTATAAAATTTGCACACTTTCCCAAAGAACGTCAACAGGATGGAACTTGTAAGACTTGTGTCCAAATGAATGTCAATTAGCCTCTAGCTCGGATTCATTCTGTGATGTCCGTAGCCCCTAAGTACATGCACAATGTGGGATTTCCTTTCAACATCGAGAAAAAATGAAATCAATATCTTCCGTTTAGAAATGTGTACAGGGGCAACTCGTACTTTTCCGTTCGGAAAGGATCCGAAATCAAATCATAAATTAATTTTGTTGTTAAAAATTATTTTCTACAAATGTTGACATACTTTCACACATTTCATTAAAAAAACCTAATGAATATAATGTCTAAATATTGTTCTTGGCGGCGCAATGATCCTATTTAAAACCTTTAGAGAGAAATAAGATTAGAATTTAAACTAGCTTTATTTGCACAAATGCACTGAAAATCTAATAAAATACATTATAAAGTGTGCATTCACGCTCAAAAGTTTTGTTTTACTTTATAAAAGCGGAAAGTTTTAAACATTCACAACATTCAGAGACAAATACTTTTATTCATATAAGCAAATACCTTTAATTTAAAGTAAATTGTGTACATTCCTTTAACTTAAAGTACACGTGTTTCTGTAATAAGATATTTGTATAAATTTATTAAAAAGATATAAATTTACGTTTTTTATTTTGACCGATAATTAAAGGGTGAATTAAGAGGTGAGCGTGTTATATAGCTTCTTTAAAATTGATTATCTAACAGGTCGTGAATTAATTTGGAACTATTGTAGGAGTACATTATGATATCAAATAGAGAGAAACAGAATCCCTAAAGAAAGTCCAACACGAATAAATTGAAAATGTGGCAGGCTCGGTTTGATTTAGACTGTTCATGGACGGTACTGGAAAGTACAAGTTACCGTCCACGCCCCCTACCACCGGCTTAAGCAGAATTCAACAATTTATCATGGTTATAGTGAAATTTCGAATTTAAAAACACCTTCAGATGTGTTCATCCTCTCAATGTATCACTGAATATCGTGATCATACCATAAATTTTGCTATTATACATTAACCATTGTCCTTCACATTTGTTCTTTCAATTGTGAGACATAACATGTGTATAATTATATGAAAATTAATACAGTATATGTATTAGTAGGTCTGCCGATACTTGATTTATTGAGTCAGCTGTTTCTAGGTTTAATATATGTATAGAAGTCATTAAGACGATGTAGGAGTACTTATTTGAATATATAGTAAATTTCTTGTAATATGTCTTTTCCAAAATGTTTTTTTTATTCTGATAAGATATGAAAATCAACACAATTTTGATAATGTAGTGATCCATCTACATTTGCATTGTATCATTTTCTAAACAATACATTTCAAAGAGTAAGTAACTCAAAACTCAAAGCAAGGAAGGTATCAAAGTGGAAGTACGCAATATTGCAAATTGTAAGAAAGTTACATACGCACAATATACATTACATGTGTTGAATAAAGGTATCGCTTTTATCAATGATTAATAATGCATGGGGTGTTCGTTATTAATTGTTATAGGCGTGATAACATATTAGAAATGAATAGTCATCATCGCACTGATGTTGTGAAAACAGACAAAAGCTTTTCTATCGGCAATATTAATACTGATAGCGTGGCTATATTGTAAACATAATAGGAACCTTAGTATTTCTAAAGGAAATTATTATTATTGCCAATTTGTGCCACTTGTATTCAATGCTTTGGCTTTTTAATTACAATGGTTACTGATATTATGGGGTTATTATACACTGTTCAATACTGCATTCTTTTGGACGAGCACACAGCTGTCAAACCTATATTGGACGACGCGCTATAAATGTTGCTGCTGTTGATGTCTCCAATAGAATCAGTATAGTTTTCAATAGAGATTAAAATACACTCATATTTATTAAACAACTCCCCATCATTTAACGTTGTAATCTTACCTCTACTAGAAGATGAAATATATTTGATTAAATTGATTAAACTGATCTTTTGTATATAGTAAATAATATAACAAATCTACATCTTTTTTTTCGCAAGAAAGGTATGGGTGTAGTTACATAGGCGTCGTAGAAACGATCGGGAAAAGCAGGTGCTTGTGATCGCAAGACATGATTGTTACAAATTATTACCCATACAACGAGCATATTTTAAAAATATAGAATATATTTTTAAGCTGTCAATTCAGAATGACAATATCAGTATAAAAGGGTAAGAAATAAACAAAAAAGACAAGTTAACCCTGTTTTGAAAGGAACGTTATTACAAACGTAGACTTGACTTTGTCAAGTATTTACAAAACGATGAGGAATATTTATTCTATGTACAACGATACATTCAGCAGTACACATACACTTCAGTTTAAGAGGAAAACAAAAATAAAATCGTATTTACTTGCCTATCTTGAGCAAATACTAGTATCGTTAAATTCGTTATATTTCATTTTCGACTCACAATTTTCGTGTGCTTCCATATCTGAAAATGATACCTCAAGTTTGTTAATTTTTTTACGAAACATTTACGCAACAAAACTTCAGGTTAACTTAAGTATTAAGCAAGAGGTATTTACAATAAAACTTCAATTTGGATCTAAAACCTTTTTAATTGTATACATTTACATAAGGTGGAATTGGTCCTACACATATTATAACGAGAGCAGTAAGTGATTGCTGTAACTGTTGGGAATAATTATTTATATAATAAAAAACAAATAATTACATAATGGTGTTCTTATTCGATATAATTGTTGTTTACTTAATTGGACGATATGTGTGATTTATTGATACAATCTAAGTGCCAAGGCTTTCAGGTTACGATTGTCTTTCCTGCATAACCTATAATGTTGACACCACATGCCTACTACATATCGTAACAGTAAACAGCTTAAGTGATGTTTAATTACACACATAGTGCAATAAAGTGAAACAGATAAAGCACTTCTATGCACTTGATGTTAAAGCCTGTTAGTTGTACATAAACCAATTATTTGAAAAGTTGTTTATAACAGGTTCTCTCAAGTTAAAAAAGAAACATTTACCTACAAAAAATCGATAATTGTCTTAGAATAAAATAGTGTTTTATAACCGAATTCTGCTTAAGCCGGTGCTCGGGGGGAGCTTGGACGGTAACTTGCATGAAAATACTTAATCACTTCATCAAACAGAATATAAATCATTTTCAGTTTTGCCGTTTTGGTTCTCTTTATCTCTATTTGAAAAATTGTGAATTACGTACTCAAAGTTTAATCTATAAATTTAAACGATGATTTTATTGTGTCTGTTAGCACGGGAAACATATGACACAAAACGGAGTAAATGTATTGATCAGTCAGTAAATTTCATCAATTGCAATATCAAAGCTTCTGAAATAACCATGATGCTCGAAGTTATAGTCTATGTAAAAGGGAAATTAAGTGACTGTTCGTGTTACATCGGTTTCAACTCGTCAGTATCAAAGAAAGATAAATGAAAGTCAAGTTGTTAACTTCGTTACGCATTTGCCACTTTTCGCTCGTTTGATAACAACACAATCTATTAGATATAAATCTTTCTGATAAAAGGCTGATGATATAAAACTCAATGTGATTATGAAACTATTAACAATTCCAAAAAATATAGATTTTCCGCATTAATTTTATTAATTTCAGCACAAAATGCGTTTTTGCAATAAAAAGCTCTTATTTGCAATGAAAGATTTTGCCTAGTCTAATAAACATATTTAAGTTGATTTTCTGCACTATTCATAAGTGTAAATGTCATGCGATTGTTCAGGTGAGCCGTGATCTAGTTGTTACATTTTCGGTCAGTTTACTCATTTATGTTGGTTCGAAAACACTGTTGTCTCTATGTCTCATCATTTGATAAAAGTACTGGTAAGATCCGACTGAACTCTTCCAAATCAAGCTGAAATGATATTTTTTACAGTTTTACAATTCGAAAAAGCCTAATCTAAGCAAAATTTATGCTAGAAACTCCAGAGCTCGGGCCATATCATTATCTGACTGTATACATTGGTATACAAATAAGTTTGAGATGTGTAAAATATGAAAACAAAAATGAACAAACATGGCAACATTCTTTAGACACATGAAAGGCTACATTTAATATGTTATTTAAGTTAAATTACACATTTCCTCTTACAAAATGGTAGCAAAGATTTAAACCCTTACTCTGCATGGAATAAATGGATACGCATTTAACAAAAGCATTGACCAAGGCCGCTTCAATTTCCAGTTTGATATTCATAGAATTGGTAATCACATATTCAGACAATGTAGCAGGTTAGTGGTTAAATATAATATGTTATATTTGCAGATTTGTGTCATTTGATTGTCAATTACCTAATGATGTGAAAGATTAAAACATACAGACTGAGGTAAGTGTTTTATGTATTTTAATAACTTAATTCAAATAAATAATTAGGACGAAAGAAACAAACGAATGCGCTCTTGGAATGCCCTTAGTAGATTAATTACACAAGCTTGAAAATTTGCTGGAAATCTCACAGTGCTACATTTTACATGAAAAATGTCGATCAAAAGTAGAAAGATAAATACGTGTTAGAAACGTGTTTATTTCTGAAATAAATTGTTATTGAAATATAGGATGTAAGCGATAAGATCTTGGTTTATTTCTGGAAATTACACCTCAAACAACATCTATTTTATTTTATTGAAATAAAAGTGATAAAACAATGTTTCGCTATATCTTGAGTAAATGAAACTGAAAATAATTAAAGTCATCATTCATTTTTTTTACACATGTACCTACGTATAAATTTTATGATCACATGAATTTTTTAGAATTTTATAGAATTTATTTATTTCATTTCCAATAGGCTAATAAGCCCATGAGGACAACATATTACAAACATAATATATATGACATGACAGAGTAAAGCATGATAATGATAATAATACATCACTTTTTCAAATATTTGAAATATAGGAGAAGGTTGAAACTCAACCTTAAAATAACTTTCTCCAATAGAGGAGAAACAATTATTCAAATACAATGCATTATAATATATATGCAATCAATGGGAATAGTACTCCAATTTTTGTCAACCTTTATCGAAATCGAAAAACAAAAGAGAAAAGGTCAACTCATTGGCTATTCGTGAAACATCTTCATCTTAACTGTAGATTGATTCAAATATCATTAATTTTTTACTCTTTTCTCTTTGAAACTTTTATTATTGAATTTAATCTTGAAAGGAGTAATATTACCAATGTGCTGTGGCAACAAAAGACAGAGAAGAAGAAAAATGCTGAGATATTATACATTATTTTAACAAGTATCATTGCCCGTACATAACGTTATTTCTAACATCAAAGCGTTGTATACATATATTCCTAAATTTTCTTATTACAGTTTTGTATCAGATTTAATCAATTCTAAAAACTTAAACATATTTGGTCTATTCCAATAGTATCTTGGTATATATTTTTTCCTTAAATCATTGTAAAGATAGCATTCAACTACAAAATGAAATTTCATCCTCCAATAAACCACATAAGTTACTTTCCTTTCATTTATTTCAATTCTTTACTGGACGTGCCCATCTACCTGACTCAATTTGTAACCTGTGTGATGAAACACGCAATCTAGATAATGCTTGGCAAAATTTATTCATTGAAAAACATTCAAGATATGGCTGACTTTGGAAAGATGCTATGTTTCTGTAAAATAATGCTCTGCTTGAATCATTTAGTCTACTATGCCAGTTTTGAATAAAATGGATCTGTTAATCTTTGTTTAACTGAAGATAAAAATAATTCAACATCACCAACATTTTGCTCTAACCAAGCATCATAAAAACCAAGAGAACATTAATAAATTTTTAACCCCATTGAACACCAGTTTACCTTAACGCTCATCTCGTTAAAAAATCTAATTTTTAAAAATGTTATAGATCAAATAAATATACTTTATTTTCGCAAGTGTTCTTAATATCTTTACCCAGTATTTAACAATGTTCATATGATGAATAACTTGTAAAGAGGTTCTACCCAGTTCTCCATAAACGAAATCATTTTGGGTTGTTTTTTTTCACACCAAGAATACTTTTACAGAATTGCAAATTAACTTTTCTATTGCATATATCATTAGTAAAACCCTAATATTTCACTACTATAATTTAAAATTGGCATAACTAATTTATCAAATAAATCGAGTTTATGTCGAGGTGTTATGTAAGTAAATTTATATACAGTATTTGTTTAACTTAAAACTGCTTTCTGAGCTTGGCCCGCCAGGGTATTTGAGCTGTGCTTAAAGACCCACCACAAGTGAACACTACAACCTAAGTTGAGAATTTGTTAACTTATGTCAAGTATTTCACCATTATAATAAAAACAAAGATCACTTGGTAAACGTCCACCTTTCCCTAAAAATCATTCTTTGTTTTTGATATGTTTACTTTTAATTTCCAAGTGTACAATAATCATTTAAAAAAACATTCAAACTATGCTGTAAATCTTCAGGAGAATTTCCAAAAGAACAATATCATCTGCATACAAGCAGAAGGAAAATTTTAAAGCATATCTAATATCGTATACCATCTGAACTCTATGTATCAACGTATCCTTCTAAATCATTTATGAATAGAGAGAAGAGCAAGGGAGATAAACACTCACCTTGTCTTACACCAAGCATACATGTATATTCTTCAACTAAGATTATTTAGATATTTAACACGTGATTTTACAAGACTCATACATTGATTTAATGATATCTAAAATATTACCTTAAGACCTAATTGTACCAATTTATACCACAAATTGTCCCATAACTATGTAGTCAATGCTTTCGTAAAATCTACAAACACAGTGAAAAGCTGTTACTCGATTTTAAAAAATGATTTATAAGTCCATTTAATACAAAAACATTATCAATGGTAACTCATGTTTAACCTAAAACCCGACCTGAAGCTTCTATGTATACATTTGTAATTTTCTGCCCATGATTTTAATCTATTATTTATAATACGTGTACAAAGCCTTTCCTAAAACGAACTAAGAAGTGTCACCCCACGATAATTTTCGACATTATTTTATAATTACTTTTTTATGCAATGGTATTACATAGCCATAAGACCCATTTTTTTTGGAAATAAGCGGATTTCAAAAATTTTATTAAAAAGTTTATGCAAAACAGGTACAAGAACATCTTTTCCTGCGTGAAAAATTCATTTATATTAAGTCTGGTCCACCAGATCGTAATTTACTTTTCAATTGTTTACGACGGCATTTATTATTTCGTCAACAGATATCATATTATTAAGTTCATTAAACATAACATTAAACTCATGATTCTCGTATACTCTCATGAAATAGAGTACATTTCATCCGGACTGAAAAAATTGCCATCCGGCAATTGTTCACCGCGCCTTAAAATATTTTCAAATTCTGATAATGGTATATTTGATTGTTTTACACCTGCTAAAACCCTTTAACATAGACCAGTAAATTTTTTGCATTTTTACTTTTAGCTTGTAACAGTTTTGAAGTATTTTCATGATCAAAATCAAATCTACATTCGCGTAACACTTTCTTATATTCTGTTCTAGCAGACACCATATTTACTCTATTACTGTATCTGTCGGCATTCGGCGAAAAATATTCAGCATGTTTAAAAATATCTGTTTTTTCTCATCACATCATCATTATACCAGGGATGATTATTTTCTGACCTACTAATTATATTTTTCATTATTACTAACATTTAAATATTTTATACAATGAAGGGCGTTGCCACTTAACAATTGATAACCTTTTGAAAATCACTCACGCATAAATCTATGTTTTCATGAGACATGCATGATGATATTTCATTTGATAGATGTTCAAGTTTATGCTCAATCTCACTACTTTTTTAATTTTTTCTAAAAACTGCACTTTCCTATCAGAATCCCCCAAACATATTTACAATTAATTGTTTCCTTTTGTTCATATGGCTCATTTATTGATACATTTTCAACTTTATCAATCTTCAAAAGTACATGACACAAGACAGTGATCTGATAATATATTCGGGCAATCAATATCAAAACTATCAACATACTTAAATAATTCTTGTTTACATAATATATAGTAATAACACTACAACCCTGATTGTTAACGAATGTGTATTTACCTACTGTCGCATCATTTCCTAGCCTACCATTCATAATTCTCGAACCAGGTTTGCTACAAAAATCTAACAATAATAAGCCAATTATTATTCACGTGACCATGATCTTGTGATCTCCTTGGTGTTTCATTGTCACAAGTATAATCATCGGGCAATACATTTATACGTTCTAAAAATCAACATTGTCATTTGCTACATAATCAAAAAGAGTAGAAGTTCGTGCGTTATAATCACCAAACAAGAAAATAGTAACTATCGCTGTTTGATTTACTTTCAACATGTAATATAGAGTCAATGAGTCTATCAAAAATATTATTTTCAACTAAAGATTGTCGGCTGCTTCCATCAGGCAATACATAACATAATCCTATATATACATCTTTACTAATATTTAATTTTTTCCAGACGATAACTTTACCCAAAGTATATCGTCCTGACTAATATAAAATAACGTGTCATCTGAAACAAGATCATTTCGTACATATATGATAATTCCCCCTGAATTTCTTTTACTGTTACTTTTAACTAATTTTCTATGCAACACAAAATGTTCAAAATTGTCTTTATCTAAACTTGAAAATTCATTCGTCCATGTTTCAGTAAATAATACAATATCATTATTTTCGAAAAACATTGTTCAAAAAATCAGTATTTAACTATTTGTGGTTTTTGTGACTAGTCTTGTATGTTCATCAGGGCACATCTAATCGAACAAACCTTCTCCAAATCGCCCTAGCTTTTAACCTCCACTCCTCCAGGTAAACGCGAGCGCCTATTTATAGTAACTGGGGGAAGTCCTGTTCCATACCGAGCGTGATTCACTACGATTGTTTGGGTTTGACGATTGTGACTCTTAAACGCTACGGTTGTTTGCACGTGATAAATGTGTAGTTACTTTTTGTGTATTTATATTCGAGGACGAAATTGGGTCAATGTCATTCATGTTTGGATTTTGGCTATTTTCATTTGTGTTTATATTTGTGCCAGTGATGTTTCGTTGGATGTAGCTGGATAATCTGCATTTCGATTAAGTGAACCTTCTTGGGATAACTTTGAAGTTGCATTCAAGGTAGTTGCTCATTGTTACTATCATTTTCTGCCAATAATTGTAAGCTAGTACTTGTTAGAACAGCTATTTCTGAAATAGGCGTTTCCCCATTTGGTGATTTTTCGGGAATGTATGTTGCATCCTCAGATTGATTTGTAGTACACGAATGTTTATTTTTCGTTTGAGTTTGAATA